AGGTAACAAGAAAACAAAAATTTGCTTCGAAAAAGACAAACAAGCCGTCCCAGATTAAAACCCGGAAGTGAACGCGAGGTGCATACGTCATTTTCACGTCCTCTTGACGTCCGCGTCTTGTTATCTAAAAGCGTCTATTGTCAAGTCAACGCAACGTTACGCAAGTTATTGTCAACGCAAGTTATTGGAGAATAACGAACTTTTTCGCTCAGATTATAAATATAAGTATCGGAAAACTCGGCCTGTATATGCATAAAATTTTCGTTTGCACTATGTTTATTGTCGAAAAAATATTATATTAAACGTTGCCTTACTATACTAGCTAAACGAAACGTTGACATTACCAAACGCAACGTTGAGAAGACTCAGAAGAGGTCAACGTGACATTGACTGCTAGCAAACAACTTAAAATTCGGCGTGCGGCACGTTTGATTGCAACTTGCAGTGACTATCCATGTGAGTTACTCGTAATGTGAATTGAGTGGTAACATGCACAACTCTAATACCTGAGTTGGATAGACTCTCCGCTTTGAGCCAGGTATTGCACCAGCTTGACTGGACGGCGTAGGTGGGCCTGCTGTAAATCATTAAAACAGAATGATCAGATCTAGATTATTAAATTGAGCTAATAAAATCAAGCAGCACATACTGGAGATTGGTCTTAAGTCTTAAAGGCGACATGATGCGAACTTTTTATTGTCCCATTTTAAAGAGTGACGTCAAAACTGTCAAGTAACTTCTTCGCTAGTTTACGATGATACGATCTATTTTCCTTAGTGAAATAATTACAATATACAATAATATAACTTAATGCAATATATGTCGTATCTCACTTCAACAGACGTCGGACCAGCAATTGAAGTGTTAATATACTAGTACTTATTTTACTCCATCTTCTCAGCCCGAAGAAATGATCAAATATGATCGATGTTTAACAGTGAATAAACGTGACCTATACTTTTTTCTAGATAACATGGAGTTTCCATCTCCAATCATCACATCCTATCATCTACAGTATGTTTTGCCTCGCGCTTTTTGTATTGGAAGTGGTTATTTGTCCGGTCACGGAAACCAACAAGCTTTGGCTATTTGTCCGTGAATTAATTTGATTAGTTGATTTCTTCGTTCTGTCAGTTTGCTAAAATGACATCAAGTAAATTTCATTTATTTTCAAGCAAATCCTCGGCAGCCGAGTGGTTAAGGCACCCGCCTTGTACGCGCTAGCTCTGTGGATCGACGTGCGAGCAAGTGGTCAGAGGTTACGGTAGGATGTTAGGGAAGGCGTTATGTGCGGGTAAGGTTCCAGTTTTATTGTGTCCTCCAGTTTTATTGTGTCCATCCGCTGGCCATTTAAATGAACCAATCAAATTAATTCACGGACAAATAGCCAAATATTTCGGTAAGTATCATGATTCCCGATAGAAACCTACATGAACCACTTTCTTTGTGATCATATAATATATTGTCTAAACTGTACCTTGACTAACAGAAGGAGATTGAGGCATTGGAGGCATCAATGGTTGACCTGTGGAGCCCATCATCTGACCAGTGGGGGTGGTGGATGGGGGTCTTATTTGTGGTTGATTCAAAGTTGTTGGTGCTCCAGTCAGACTAGATGGGGGGCCAGTCAAATTAGTTGGTCTTGTCAAACTGCTTGGAGGTCCTGTAAAACTAGTTGGAGGTCCTGTCAAACGGGTTGGAGGTCCTGTCAAACTGGTTGGGGGTCCTGTCAAACTAGTTTGTGGTCTTGTCAAACTTGTTGGCTGTCCAGCCAATCCACCAGGTCGATAACCTGCCATTGAAGCCTGCCATGGTGATGGCCTAACCGATTGATTTGGTCCTGATCTTGAGGTTGCATTAAAGTTTTGTGCAAGAGCACCTCCAGTTGGTGGCTGCATTGGAGGTCCTGAGAGTGATGCATGCTGCCCACTCATATAACTCTGAACTTGTCTTTGTGCACCAATCTGGTTAGATGTTGGCATAGGACCACTGGGAGTTGTTGGTGATGAGTGAACACCAAAGGCATGTGATGGTGGATACATTGGACTGGATAACTGAGGGCCAGTGGCTGGTGGTGGAGCAGAGCCTGGTCGAGAGGGTTGGTTGACCATGGATGATAATGGTGGTGTTGAACTAGCAGATCTAGAATGAACTGAGCTCATCAGCCTATATTGTTGGTTAGCCTGGGGAGATGGTTGACCAGGTAAGCCATTTGAAGGACCATTGGGCAACCCACCATAACCTGGAGAATTTGCTCGTCCTGTGGAAGAAAAAACATGGGTGCTGATCAGCTGATTACTGTATCTCTATCTAGTTACACGCGTAAAAATTGAGAAAATCAACAACTTGTTCCAGGTTGATATCAACAGGCGTGAACAAGGCTGTGCGGCCCACTATGAACAGTATTGTCAACATGTTGTTACAGCATTGTTCAACTGTAACAACTTGGAACAACATGGTTGACAACTTGTTCATAGTTGGCCGCACAACATTGTTCACGCCTGTCGATATCAGCTTGGAACAACCTGTGCGTTTTTAGCCGTGTACCTTACTGTTGGACATTGATCTACAGTGGACAAAACCATTTGACTTATACTACACAATTACTGTGACTGCTCATATTATTAATTATGTCCAAATTTTGGAATAATCCCAATCTATTTAAGCATGTATATTATATTCTATGGCGATACAGTATGATTCAACCCATTAACCAACATGCATGGTGAGAAGCTACCATAGATCAAGCTGCAGTAGCCCCAAATTCTTTGCTCTGTTTAGCACCAGACAATTTTATGTTTAAGGGGGAAGTGCTGGATTAAAAGCAATATCCATCCAGAGACCAATTGAATTATGTTTTGCTGACTTCTGTGTGCGATGTAGCTCGTGTACAGACTGTATTATGCTGTAATACAGTCTGTGAAAATTTGTGGCATTTCTTGTCGACCGCCAGCTGTGCTACACAGATCTGGGTAGTTGATTCTGATTACTGTAGTCACGACTGAAATTAATGGATTCTGATTGGCTGGACTTAAATATCAATGACTGTTGGACTTTGATTTTCAAAATCGAACTATTTTCTTGACACTTGATGTTCATTTTAAATTTTACTTCTCTCTATGCTTCAAACTACTAAATTTTCAATGCAAAATGTTTCTAATGTATTTCAGATTAATATGATACCCAAATGAACAACTAAAATGCAACAATTTTACAGAGCGTGATGCGATTTGTTTGTTTATTTCAGAATCTAATGAGTTTAACTATGACCAATCAGAATCAACTACCCAGATCTGAGTAGCGCAGCTGGGGTCGACAAGCAATGCCACAAATTTTCACAGACTCTATCACAGCATAATACAGTCTGTACACAGGCTTTGTGTGATGCAACTACTTGAAAAATAGAACAAATTTCTATATTTCAATTTTTCAAAATTTATTCTATATTTCAGGTAGTTGCATCATACACAGAAGCCAGCAAACTGTACTCTTCACTGCTTTACTGGTCCCCAACATTCAAGTCTCTTCCCAACCTATTCCATGGTGATCTATTGGGTCATTCAAGATTGGTAATCCAGTGCATTGTTTCATACTCCTTGCCTTTTCGTATCCTTACCGTGTGTTGTACACAGGCTTGGTCATTTCGTACCCATGCTTAGTCGATTGGTACTCATCCTTAATTTGTACCTACTTAGATAGTTGCGTCACTTTGTACTTGGATTTTGATTTGTGTTTTTAGTACAACCAGTCAACCAGAGTTGGGTATGAAACAACCAGAGTTTGGGTATGAAACAACTTGGGTACGAAATTTAATACTACTGGAGTATGGAACAACCGAATACCTTCTATAATCTACTGCTGATAATAGTAAAATGTGCTAGTTAGAATTTTGCATTTCCTCATGAGGAAATGAGAATGTTTTCTGAAATTATAACAAATTTCAAAAATGTAGATGGGCACGAGACTGATGCAGATTGAAATAGATACAAGTTCTACATGACAAATACAAGCGAAGGTCCTTCACTGAGAGTCAGTAGTTCTACTAATGTCCCGACAAAGGCCCTTCATTGAGAAGTTAGTAGTTCTACTAACTTCCCGACAAAGGTCCTTCATTGAGAAGTTAGTAGCTCTACTAACTTCCCGACAGAGGGCCTTCACTCAAAACGTTGAAGCTCTGCTTGTAGATTTCAATTAGTTTCATCTCTCTCAACCCTCAGCTGACTCGTTATTGTCACTTCTGCACTGGCACAGACTGTTCAAGATGGGGTACAATAATGGAGAAAAATTTATGCAATTCTGATATTCCATAAATTGCCTAATAAAACAGTAAACATCATGTTTGTACAGTGGGAAATAATGTGGTCAACAGGGTGCGATAATTCGCGTACCAACGTACCGGAGGTACGCCAAATTTATGGTCTGGTACTTCTTTGTTTTTAGGCAAGTACCACGTAGGTACGCCGGCATCGATAAAATGCGCGAGCGTCCGAGCGCCGCTCACAGGCACCTTTTACATTTTTGCAGGCACATTTTAAAATACTGACATTTTAACAATATTTAGGTCACAAAATCTAAATAAGATGTGTTTTTGCAGGCACATTTTGAATTTCGCTCGCAGGCACGAAAAAATGTTATCGAGGCCGGGCCCGTACGCGGAAATATCTATTCGCGTACTTACATTTTCCTTCTAAACAAACCTTTTCCTTCTAAGCAAACCTGCCAAAGTATTCAAAACCGTGAAGAACTTTAGCTGTACATGTAAATTCCACGCATCCGACATATTTTGGGATGAAAATGCGCTTGATTAAAAAAATTATCGTCATCGTCCGACTGAAAAAAAATCGCTCGGGTGAGCGATTTTAAAATCGTTATCGTCAAACGATAATTTTATCGTTTTCGTTGTAGTGTGGACAGCAACATAATTTTTTTACCAATCATCGCGTGTTTACAAGTTATCGTATCGTTATCGTTGTGTGGTGTGACCTGGGCTTAATTGTCAATGCTATACCAAGGCCTAAAAAAATCCTGTGGTTCCGGTTTCCCGACCGACCCTATTTTTTTCTGCCACCCTATTATTTTTTTCAACACGATTGACCGTACGACCCTATTTTCTCCGGGTAGTTGTGGGCTGTTCGCACAGCGTGCCAAAATGGCGTCTGTTGTCACAATAATTATTGAACCAAATTGCCTAAATCCGTCCATAGGAAATACGCATCTCTAGTTAATATTGTTGTCGGGACTCTACTGCAAATCGCTCAGCAAAAAAAAACATGAAAAAAATATTTAAAAAAAAATTATTTCCGACCTACCTACCCTAATTTTTTCGCGATATGAAACTGGAACCAGTTTTTTTAGGCCCAATGAGGAAAACTACACTGTGTATAGCTGAGGTCAGACTGTTAGCACCCTCGGTAAATCCACTGTAAATGAGCGATGGCATTCGAGTCACAACGTCGACGCTTTGAAAACTGTTCTGTATTATGTTGTACAAATACCATAATTAATAAAGATTCATTTGTACAAAATTGCCCATACACTTTTTGCTTTTGGACCAGTAAACTATACCTAGGTCTAAAAACGCATGACTCGGAAGTAGTCTTAGGTACGTCTTGACTCTTAAGTTTGTACCAGATCAGGTACACGGTAAAAGTTGTTGAGTTATTGAATTATCGCACCCTGTGGTTGGTATTACAACATTATTGAAGATATTTTAACCTAGGATGAGTCAGGCTTAAATTAAGGGAGGCTATTGGGTATTCAGCCTAACTTATCAAATTAGCTTTCATCGGCCAGAACATTGGTGGGTATCAACTATCACTATGTGTGATGCACCTTTGCTAGCGACTGCACTGGCTCCTGATGCTGTAGCCATTGGTTCCTTCAGTCATGCAGTTGCAGTCATTGGTCATCTCTCCAGCTGCTTGCTGGCTCACCGGCTGCTTGCCGGTTTTGTTTTGTGTTACTGGTTGTCACGTAATCAGTCATACTTGCTTGCTACATTACAGTTAGTTGTACCCTCACCAAACCGGTTGTTTGTCTCCACAGTGACAGTAGTTCTGTCCACAGAGAGGCTAATTCTCAGCATTATTGATATTAGTCAAGATTTTGGGATGGTCAGAAGGCCCTTCTAGAAGACAGCGTCGCAGAGCCCGATTGGATTCCGATACCCATCAGCTCAAGATCTTTGGCGGAAAGCATAGCCACTTGGCGTGACACAAAGGAGTTTTTGGCGTAAAAAAATTAAAATGCAGCAGGTTTGTGGGCTGGCGGACCGTGTGTGTTTAAGAAATTCTGTGCTTTTGGCGGGTTTTCTAAAGTTGTAATATTCTTGGCGTAAATCTTTGGTGGGCGAAAATGGAGAAATCCAATCAGGTCGCAAGCCATTGTAAGCCATTGAGTAAACTAACTACGTAGCATGAACCTTCTCCAACGAAACTACACAATCACATTGTTTGAACGCTAGTACATCAGTATGCTGCAGCTAGTTGCATTGGGTACGAGTGTGTTCAAGATGTTAAATACATTTGAATTTGTTCAAGATGTTAATACATTTGAATTGCATTTACTCACCAATTTACTATTTAAGTGCATACATACATATACTGAATATAATCATCATATTGTAGTAAGTCAAAACATGTTTCTCACTATGTATTCCTAGCATATGGCCAACTACAGAATAGAATTGTCAACTTTCAGGAACAGATGTTATATGTCTAAACGTCATTCTTGTGTACAATACGGTGTGTACAACATAATAGAGAGTTTAAGTTCGACTTCCAATACCAATACCGATACTAACAACAGGTCATGCGCATGTGCTCTGCTCGCAAGAAACACAAGGACAAGTGTATTGGACGTCACCACTGCCGAAGTCGGCCTTGTTTTGGAAGTCGTGGGAATTTATCTTTAAATTCATATAAATCGGATATTTCATAATTTTTCGATAAACATGTAAACTATTTGTTTATTAGCATCGCCTGAGTCATGTTTTAGTCAGAATTTTAGCTCAGCTGCAGTTTAGTATACCGCACATTTTCGGTGACGATTAATGTGTTCTATACTTTATCTGTCATGATAACTTAACGCTTTAAAATTCCCGGTACCAAAATGAGAACGAAGTGAAGACATCGATATTGGTATCGGAATTCGAACTTAAACTCTCTAATGGGAGAACAGAGACTGGCTTGAAGCAAGTCTACATGCCAGGTGCCAGTTGTACAAAGCTGGAAAGCACTATCCACCTGAGAGTGATTTTTTCAGTTTAATGGGTTAATTTAATGGTTGAATATGATGTTGATATAATTACCTTAATTACTGTGACATTAAATTTCACTTGAATCAATAAATTTCATAGAAATGAGATCCAGCAATTAAGAAAACATTTTTAAATAAATGACATTACAGTTTGTTTCAATTGATAATTGTTTTAATAAAAATATTAAATAGTGGGGTTAATAATGTAATGCTATATAAATACTTCATACGTGTCATCGTGGATAAATTTGACTCAACACAAAAATGATATAAGCTTGTGTATTTTGTCCTATTGAATTGTCTTTTAATTAATATTTACGTGTAAACTAAAAAATAACACTTATGTTGTACTTAATATCTGTATCTTTCTCTAATATACGAAAATGCAAAATTATACAACCACTTTGTAAAATCCTACCATGCCCCCACACTTCCAATATTTATTTCAATCATATCTAAGACGACACATTTTTTATGCAATCTGTATTTGTTGTTTATAATACGAAGGTCGCGAATTTAATATTGTCAAAATCTCGACAATAAATTTACAAATACCCACCAAAAATTTTTACTATAAGGCTTATTGCATACATTACCTTGCAGTGTGCCTTTTGTATTCATAAGATGTGGAATATTGCCTTGATTCGTGGGGGAATTTGGTCCTGATCGGCCAGTACCAGTCTCGTTTCGTTCCTGTAGAACAGGGGAGTTGCGTTTACCTTGCATCGTCTCGTATGTTTGAGGCGGTGATAAGCTCTCTGTTGGGAAACCAGC